TCAAGGGTCCAGTTAGATAGCTGCTCTGAGAAGGATAGTAAGAATTAGGGTAATATTAAATGATTCTGCCTCTGGCATCAACTACTTTCAACTGTCAGCAGTTTAGATACATCAGGAAACAAGCTTGCATTTTGGTGGTTGTATTTAGCTTTTCTCCAAGAATGGAGAAATCCTGTTATATTTTTGTATTTCCAATTCTCTTGAAAGACTACAGACATGATGCTTGATAACAGATGCCAAATGCACATAGACCACTGCAACACACCTGAAAGAGTGACAAGGATTTCATAACACCTGGCAAACCTTACAATGCCTCCTCCTTCTCTGATAAGTTGCTAGGGTGAGTTGCCAAATCCCACTCTCACTGGGCATCTCTGTGAGAATTTGTTGAGATGCATGCAGTTGTCATACACTCTTCTGAGCTTCCATGTTGAGGCATCACACCTCAGGTGCTCTTTCAACCACAGTTAGAGACTGAACTACTGTGTTAGGATTAAATTTCAGAGAGCATGAAAGAGAGAGTGAGCGCTGTGGGTAGATGTGACCATTCTTTAGTCTAAAGGAGCACTTGTTCACTAAAAAAGTTATTATTCAACCAACTGTAGCACAGTTAGCTACTCTGCTAATAGATCATTATATATATTCAAAGGCATAGGCATACAGCTAACCCTACAGCCACATGGAAATCTGAATTCTACCTTTATTCAGACTCTGCAAAGAAGTTTGTGTCCTGGAGGACTAGAGCTGCTAACTAATTTCTCTTGTTCAAAGCTGTAGTGCACAGTTAGGAACAGCATAGGCTTAGAGAAACACTTTGATGCACAATCTTCCCATTTGTATAATTTCAATTTTTAAAGCATTTAAAAAAAATTAAGTGACTTCAATATTTAGCGAAATCAGTTCTTTACAATCTCTCATTTGCCTTCTGTGTCTCTTTTCTAGGCAAAATTGAAATGTGCTATGAATGGTTTTCCAGTATGTGCATGTAATGACTACAGGTAATTTATAATTGGTAAACCAAATTCTTAGAGACTTGTCAGCTCTTTGTTATGTTTTGGAACTGTACAACTAGCTAATAAAAAACAGTTCTTGACACTTCATGAAATACATACCAGATAACATAATAAATATCCTAGATACTTAGGATGCTGTATGTTATGATAAAATGTTGTCATAGTGAGACTTTGCTGAGGTTACTTAACACTGATCTGAAGACATAGGTCCAAACTGACCTTCTAATTTTCCAGATGTACTTATTTCTAATTGCTATGCTTTCTCATTCCTTAGGTAACCACATAAACACCCTTTACCAATTTACATTTTATAAGTGTATATGTATAAGGGCACTGGGGCCATATTTTATTTATTACTTTGTGTCCTCTGATCCTAATATGAGCTTACATTTCTTAACATAAGATTGCATTTTCAACTGTGATTTCAAGCTAACTTAATGCTCAAAAAAAGATCAATTCATCCCAATTAATATTAAAGTCTCTCAGTGATTTCTCTGAACAGAGGATCAGGCTTGGGACTGTCTTATCTCTTCTTCTCATCTCAATTAAACTGAATAATTTTTACAAATATTACTCTGCTAATCTCTTCAGAGCATTACCACAAGGCAGCCTATTTTGCCTAGTCTGCCAGGATCTAATGTACATGACTGCTTTGCTCTTCTTCACAATACATGAATAGTGTCTCTATCAGATTTCTTCTCTTCCTACAGTATTGGAAATCAGTGGGATTACATTCTCATGCTGATAAGTCACAGTTAGGCAGACATACAAATTCAAGGAACTTCGGATTTTTTCCAGTGTTGCCACTGAATTGCTGTGTCATCGTGATGACGTCACTTAAGCCATTTTGCATCCATGTTTGTTGCCTTTTTTCAGCTCCCCTGAGCTCTTTATGACCAATGTTTTTGACCTTCCCTAGCACCACAGAGATCAGTGATAGTTTTGCTATTGGCTTTAACAAAAACTCAAAGGACATGAAACTTTCTCTGTTTCAGAAGAAACTTTCACACAGAATGAGACAATATTCATAGTTGTAAGGGATCCACAAGGATGATCAAGTCCAACTCTTTATCCTGCACAGGTCACCCCCAAGAACCACACCATGTGCCTGAGAGCATTCTTCTTGAACTTTGTCAGGCTTGGTGCCATGACTGCTTCCCCGAAGAGCTCTTCCAGTGCCCAGTCACCCTCTGGGTGAAGAACCATTTTTCCAATCCCAAACCTACCCCTCCCCTGACACAACTGCAGACCATTCCCTAGGTCCTGTCACGGGTTACCAGAGAGAACAGGTCAGTCCCTGCCCTTCCACTTGCCTTTATGAGGAAGTTGTATATAGTGAGGAGGTCTCACCTCAGACTCCTCTTCTCCACGCTGAACAGACCAAGTGACCTCAGCTGCTCCTCATACGGCTTCCCCTCAAGGCCCTTCACCATCTTCATTGCCCTCCTTTGGATGTTTTCTAATAGCTTTATGTCTTTTTTATATTGTGGTGCCCAAAACTGCATACAATATTCAAGGTGAGGCTGCATCAGCATAGACTAGAACAGGACAATCACCTCCCTTGACCAGCTGGCAATGCCTTGCCTGATGCACCCCAGGACATCATTGGCCATCCTGGCTCACAGGGTGCACTGTTCGTACATATTCAAACTGCTATTGACCAGGACCCCTGGGTCCCTTTTTACAACACTACTTTCCAGCACCTCATTCCCCAGTCTGTATAGGGGTTGCCCCATTCCAGGTATAGAGTCCAGCACATGCCTTAGTTGAACTTCATATGATTGGTGATTGTCCACATCTCTAAATTTATCAAGGTCTCTCAGCAAGGCCTCTCTGCCTTTGAGGAAGTCAACAGCTTCTTCCAATTTTGTATCATTGGCAAACTTGCTTTGTATCCCTTCAAATCCCATGTCCAAGTCATTTATAAAGATGTTGAAGAGCACTCGGCCTATGATGAAGCCCTGTCGAATTCCACTAGTGACCAGCCACCAGCCTGATATAATCCCATAATCCCAATAATGCAGCTAAAGTCAAATGAATCCTGGTCTGCGTCAAAGGAAGTGTGGCCAGCAGGTCAAAGGAGGTGATTCTTGCCCTCTACTCTGCTCTTGTGAGACTCTACCTGGAGTATTGCGTACAGTTCTGGTGTCCCCAACATAAAAAGGATATGGAGCTGTTGGAGCAAGTCCAGAGGAGAGCCACAAAGTTGGTAAAGGCTAGAGCACCTTCCCTATGAAGACAGACTGAGAAAGTTGTGGTTGTTAGGCCTAGAGAAGAGAAGGCTGCACGGGGACCTCATAGCAACCTTTCAATATCTGAAAGGGATACAGTGAAGCTGGAGAGGAATTCTTTGTTAGGAACTGTAGTGATAGGACAAGGAGTAACTGGGATAAATTGAAAAAGGGAAAATTTAGATTAGATATTAGGAAGAAATGTTTTACTGTGAGGATGGTAAGACACTGGCACAGGTTGCCCAGGGAGGTTGTGGCTGCGTCAACTCTGGCAGTGTTCAAAGCCAGGTTGGACAAAGCCTTGAGCAACCTGGTCTAGTTGGAGGTGTCCCTGCACAGGGCACAGGGGATTGGGACTACATGGTCTTTAAGGTCCATTCCAACCCCTTAATATTTTCTGATTCTATGATCGTGTAACCCTTTGGGCCTGACCCATGAGCCAGTTGCCCACCCATAGCATGATGTGTTTATCCCGTTGTACGCTGGACATTTCATCCAGAAGAATACTATGAGAGACTGTATCGAAAGCTTTGATGAAATCCAAAAAGATTGCATCAACTGCCTTCTCTTGATCAGCTAGGTGGGTTACCTTGTATCATAGAAGGAAATCAGATTTGACAAGCAGGAATTTCCCATTATGCTGGCTGTGTCCAATGACTGCATTGTCTTTCAAGTGTTTTTCAATACCTTCCAGAATAATCTTCTCCATAAGTTTACCAGGCACTGAGGTGAGACCAACAGGCCTGTAGTTACCAGGGTCATCCTTCTTCCTGTTTTTGAAAACTGGGATAATGTTAGCCAGCTTCCAGTCAACTGGGACCTCTCCAGAATGCCAAGACCATTCAAAAATTGTTCAGGGAGGCCTTGCAATGACATCAGCCAGCTCTTCAAGTATTCTTCGATGAACCTCATCAGGCCTCATAGATTTATAGGGTTCCAGCTAGAGCAGCAGATTCCTCACAACATTACGGTCAACTTGGAGTTTGTCATTGTCACTTCTGTGGTCCTCCAGCTCACAGCTCTGGGACCCCCTTAGTCTGACATCAATGTTGATAGAGACAAAGAAGGCATTAAACATCTCCACCTTGTCTATGTCCCTCTTTGTAAGGCGACCAGTCTCATCCTGTAATGGGCTGATGTAATTTCTGCCCTGCCTTTTGTCATTATTGTCTTTGAAGAAGTAATTTTTATTGTCCCCCACAGTTCTGGCCAGCTTCAACTCCAGTTGAGCTTTGGTCACATGGTTTTAATCCCTACAGTGGTGAGCAGCATCTCTGTATTCCTCCCATGTCACCTGACCTTGTTTCCAGTGTGCATACACCTTCCTTTTTTTGCCTTAGCTCCAAAAGAAGATTCCTGGTAAGCCAAGATGGCCTTCTGCCTTGTCTGCTGGACTTCTGACATTTGGGAATTGCCTGTGCCCTTAGGAGGTGGTGGTTAAAAAGTGACCAGTACTGACGTACCCCAGCACCTGCAAAAGCATTTTCCCACTTTACTCACTAGTTCTCTGAGCTGTACTACAAAAAAAATTAAAAATAAAAAAGAATTCCAAAGAGAGGTTGAATTGACCTGTTTTAGTATAATCAAGACATTCTACTTACATGCACTGTCAACAAGTCCTTATTTGAAAAGATATTTCAATGTTAAAGAAAAATATTTCTTCAGATAGGGCTACATCATCAGGCCACAAACATTCAGTTCTTCTGTTGCTAGATAAAATCTATTTCAAACTGATATATTTTCTTCAATGGTCTTCAATATCAGTGTTTTTAGCAACATTTTCATCTCTGACAATGGGTTGATGGGACTTTCAGAACTACCCACACAGGCATTCTATTTGCTGAACAGTGATCTTGTTTTAGGTCTATAATGCTCCTTTGACCAGAACAGAGATACACTTTAGGAAGTCAGTATAAATTTACCTAAAATCCATCCTGCAGCTGTCTGTTTCTCAGGGAGAGGAGAAGAATTTAGCCTAGGGAGGCTGCAAGCTTTCACTCCCTTCCCTATCCTCATTCATACAGGAAAGGGAAAAGCAACATGAAACCCATTCCTATTTCAGAAAACTTAGTAATTCAATTCTGGTAGCATCAATGGCTTAGGGGTAGCTAAGTGAAGTAGAGTCATTAGCAAGCAGAGCTGTGCTCCTACCCGAACATCATTCAAAACACAATTAAATGTTTCATTATTTCCTTTAATTGTCTGAGAGAATACAAAGCAATTTCCAACTGTAGGAAACATTTTTATCATCAAATGCCTTTTTCCCCCTTTTCTTTCTTTTAAAAATAATATATCATTTTAATGAGGTTCAGCAATAGTTCTCAGTAAAGCTGCAGTATTTGAAAGAAGTAGATCAGCCTCTATTTCCATCACGGAACCACAGGCTTGATTGCTGAAATGAAATCCACAGCATTGTTATTGTCACATGATGTTGCACAGGAGTTTTTCATGGGATGTTATTACTTGTTCATAATCTGTCCTGCAGAAAAAAAAATAGATTTTCTGCTCTTTCTATATGCAACTGCCTATCTCCTTAATAAAAACCTTAATTAGGTCTAAGTGCCAAGGACTAAGCATTCACAAGACTTAAAAACTACCTATTTGATAAGAATTCTCTTAGCAAAACCTTTATCCATTTTCCAGGCTAGCAATTCAGAAGTGATGATATGACAAGCCTAAGAATGTCCTGTTATATTATGGAACAAACTTATAACCTCATACAAGAATCAAATCTTCCCACCTCAGATTGTCAAATGCAGGTTCACTGGTACTATCTTATCTGTATTTCTTTTATTGATGCATCCACCCAACTGGCCCAATATCTAGTAGCTACAGTGTAAGTCACCTAAGTTTCCTCTTTTCATGTCAGTGCTGTTATCTGTCATCATCTTTGGCTGTGAATGACTTTTTAAAATTTTCATGTCATATGCATTGATTGTGTCTCCTGTACCTAGAAACAAAATTTTCAGCATTATTAACAGCTGTACAGAATTCATTCAACAGCTGATCAGTATTATTGGAAGTATTCTTTCTTGGGGCATTTAGAAAATATATTAATGTCTTCTTGCCTTTAATTCTGCCAGTTCTAAAGTTCTGCTTCTGCTCTTTTTCTTCCTTTACAAACTCTATATTTTTACAGTCTTGATTACTATCTCGATCTTCCTGATTTTCTTCATTCCAGCATATTCTCTGTTTTTAATGCTATAATTTTTCCCTCCAAGACTCTCAGGATTTTTTGTATAATGTGGGTCTGCACATGATAAAATTTCTTCAACAGTTTCAAATTATTAATTACATTTTCCTAGTTAAATATGATCTTCTAGCTCATTTAGCCCATTATTGATTTGAACTCTCTAAAGCCACCCATCAGAAGTACCAGTTGTTACCTGCTTATTTAAACTTAGCTTTGCAAACATATTCAGGCCATGATCTGCTGCATCTGAGAATCATCCACCCTTAAGTATTGAGATGGAGTCCCACCTATCTGTCAAGATGATGTCTTAAGATAGAATTTCCCTGTGCAAGTAACACCTCTTGATTGAGGAAAATTATTGAAGTCTCCCATGATAAAGTAGATGTTTTTCTACACTTTCTAAAATCGCTGACTTTCTTTCTGAAGAGCTGACTATGCAATTCTGTGTTGCAATACAGTTTAGTCATAGCAGACACCAGTTTACAGCCCATCCTGTACCTGAAGCATGAGAGGACAAGTTCAGAAGTATTTAGGATGATTTGCCTCAGAGCTGCCTCAGAAAACACAAGCAGCTCATCATGTCAGAGAAAGGGTGCGGAAATCAGCACATGGTGTCAGGGAAGGGCTGACCAGAGTTTAACTTTACAGGCTTTCGACAAACTAGCAGAGAACATTTATTTTCCTACGCAGCCTGGGCCACAGGCACAGCAAGCTAGTGGCATGTTGTCCATGCTGCCTTCTAGCACCAGAGCATTGTGAACATGAGTATGTAGAGGATCACAAACAGGGTCCCAGCATGGCAGAAATACTCTGGCTGATCAGGGAGAGAAGTGTTTGGCAGAGCAATGTTTTTATCTTAGTTTATAAGCACTATTACTGTTTCTATACACAGCACAAAGGAGAGCAAAGAACTGCTCACTGCCAGCCAGGAGACTGCAGAGACACGGAACTAGCTCATGCTCCTAACTTTATACAGAATAAAGGAGACCATGTAACCATACCCATGGTCTGAAGTACAACGAAAGGATATTCATGTCTCATGATTGTAAGGCTATAACATATAACTACAGCCTCTGCTGTATTTAAGCTCTGCCCTTCATTCCTGCACCTGACAGAATCCGGCAGCTCGTGTCAGATGTAAACCTGCTGTTTAGAAACCTGCTGAGGACTAGAAGTGACCAGCAGCTGCACAATTGGCTTCAGGAACAAGTGGCAGAGATCTACCACTACTGCACACACATTTACTTTTCTTACATAAGTTAATGACATAAGTTAAACAAAACTTGCCATGAGTTAAACTGTTGAATGACAGAAAATATTGTCAAGTCCATTTAATATATAGTGAATGTCTCCAATCATGTAAGAAGATATTACATATAATATCAGGATCTGACATTTTATTATCAGTTGACAGTGACATTGTTTCAGGAAGGAAAAACAACATACAAGCTGTATGAAAAGTAATCATGAAGTAGAAAGGCAGACACCTTGTGTCAGATAAACCATGAACAACCATACACACATACATAAACCAAGGAAGTTTAGTTATCCAGACAGAAAGCACTGCAAAACTTCCTCCCTTGCAGTATGTTCAATATCCACGGCAAAACAACCGTGCATTTTCCCCCAAAGAATTCTGCTGTCGGTTCAGAAGAAAGAATCAGAGCACACAAGCTCTTACAGATTCAAAAGACGGGAAAAACAGCCTTTAAGTAGAAAAGACGCAAAATGTTGGGATTAGCATAACAATATCATTGTTCCTGTATTAATCTGTAAGTTTGCATATAAACAAGTTAAGTACTGTAGGACATTTCTCTGCAGTTTACGAATTCTAAATAAAATTGTCAGTTGCTTTTAATTGTAGCTAATATTTTGGGTTAGTTTTTTTGGGTTTTTTTAAAGTGGAAAAATATCCATGTATATTAAGCTTATAAACAGCAACCTACTGTGACCTGGAATTAATTGCCATTTTTTGTTTGGTTTTTTCCTGCTCTGGGGGTGGGAGGCAGTGGGTGCTGTGGAATCCAAATTTGATAAGGGACACAGACTTAAAAGAAGCTTGTACCTGTTCTCCTTGCTATGCTCTGTGATGGTCTTTGCAGTGTGATGTCTCCTTAAATGTACAGTGTAGCACAAGTGATAGGAAGCATAACAAATTTAAATTTAGCTGTCATTATTAGGATAGCAATATATAGCAGAATTATTAACACTTCTCTATCACAAGGTATTTTTCTCTTAGCTGTAGTATAATCTTCCTAAAATGTTCTGCCTCGCAGCTAAAGGCAACTAGCTGACCAAAGGTGCCAGACAAGGACCTGCAGGATCATAAAGCAATTTTTCAAGTAGGGTGGAGAAAATCCCACACCAGCCTTTAACCCAGGCTCTGTCATATACCTAGACCATGCCACACACCCTCTCTGGATCTGCTTTTCTTTTTTTATTTTGCACAGCTGTCTAGCAGTGCTCACAGGACAACTCCATGGGGTAAGCTTGACAAGAAGTTCATGCTGCCCTTCCCACAGAGGACTGTAGAGACCCCATCAACCATCTTATAGCCTGATCTCAGACAAGTGATGGAAACAGAAGCCAGGCTGAGATCACAAAATCATTGAGTCATTTAGGCTGGAAAAGGCCTCTAAGGCCATGGAGTCCAACCATTTACCTAATACCACTGTGCTCACCTCTAAACCATATTCCCAAGTGCCACATCCACACATTTTTTGAACGTGTCAAGGGATCCTCTTCTCCAGGCTGCACTGGAGGTGAATTCATCCTTATTCTTCTGTGTTACTTCAACTTTCACTCTATCACAAAAACACCACCATATTTTCTGTTTTGGAAAGCATAAGGCTTCTTGCTGCATTTTGCAGATAATAAAGCCATTGCAACTCCTGAATTTTCCCAGGCACTGCCCATAACTACAATTTAGGTTATTGCCTTTGAGTTCAACTTTTGTAAACCAGGAACCATCAAAAGTTTTAGCCACTGTGATTAGGACTATATTGCATGCAAGACTGCAGGTTTATACAGGATGGGAGCTGCATTAAAAAGCAGAATTACTAGAAAGTACATAGATTACCCAATTCAATCAGACTTGTGAAAGTAGTGCTGTGTTCTGTTATCAAAATCACAATAAATCTGTCCAACGCAGCCTTTTGTTAGCTCTGCACCAACTTATAAATTAGTATGTTTCACAAGAATCCTGTTGTGCAGCTTCTAGTTTGATTTTTCATTCATATTGTGAAGTTGTTCACTGTGCCCTTGAGAACAGTAAAGCTGGAGAGATCTGGCATCTCATAGCAGGACCCAGGTGCTTTAATAACTGTTACTCCACTTAGCCAATACTTAGCTTTCAGGTTTGACTTTAATTAGAGGAGGTATGACATTTTAAGTATCTTTTAACCAACTGCCTTACTTCACAGTCATGATGCTCTGATTACAAAAGACATGGGGAACAGGCAATGTGCAATGCTGTTGCTAAACAGCTGCACTAGAAAGAGCCATGGTTTTGACCTGTGGGGTTTTTCCAAACTCCTTCAAAGCTGTGCTTACCTAGAGTTAAGCTTTGAACTTTTTATTTCAGATTTTGTTGTCAGAATTGTGTACAAACTTATATGTGCACAACAGTTCAGGGTTTACCACGTTGCCTCTGAGTAACCACTGAGCAAATTTCAAGAAATTCTCCTAAAAAAGTAGAATTACATTTTGCATTAAAAGCTTGCATGGTGTATGTTTGAGACAAGGGAATGGACTTCATGCTGTTTGGTGCTATTAGGACAGACAAACAAAGCATCTATAGCGGTCTCTCTGCAACCTGAACTATTCCCACCCACAGGAAATAAATAGCTGGTTCCTCAACTCCATATCATATCAGACTTGGGAGAAATTGATAAATTTTTACATTTAGGCTTTGAAACAAAAATTCAAATTTATTTCTAAACTACCTGCTACTAGAGGCAAACAGTCCGTGTCAGCCAGATAAGTCATTTCACTAAGCTTGAGGCATACTATTTTCATTTCTGGGCATCCTTACTAAAAGAAGATGACAAATCACAGACAGCCTTTCATAGAATTTTTGTGGCTATGTCTATTCACACTGCTCTGTGGTTAAGACACTTTCCAACATATATGTTGTAGAAATAAGCAGTGAGGAGTTTCAAACTATCATCTCCTGCCAGGATTTCAAATATTGGTTTTGTCTGCCCAATACTATATATGAACAATACAGGAAAAACACAAGGGGTGTTCAAATCACCAGGGCTGGAAACCAAGATGTCTCAAACCAAAGAAGTGTTATCAAGGGTATGGTTTCATAACTGTCTTAAGCAGATTTAAATTGTTTTGATGGGTTCAAACTCTATGTTACTGTTGGATATTTGCTCTTGTTACCTGTCATGTAGTACCTCTGATATACATGCCATTAAATTGAACAGATGAGACAAAGAGTTTAGGCAGATCAGTTCCCAGTTATGACACAATGTGGGAGTGCAGAATCGAATCAAAGCACCCTGCATTATGTCCTTTGCCTGATGCCTCTGTAAGTGTTCTCAGTATTCAGAAGTCCCAGGTTTGCCCTTGAGAAATAGTTGTACTTTGCAGGGAGAAGATGCCTTTCGGAAACCCAGGACCAGTCAGTGGAAGGAAAAGAACACAATCTTGTTTATTTTAAAATCTGATTTTGCATTTGTGAGCCAAGCAAATACAAAAAGCAGTGCTGAGAACATGAATTGACCATTTTATGTGAACAGCACAAGTGA